GACATGCTGAAATCAAAGTTTGCTTGTATACAAACTTTCTTTCAATATGTGTCAAGGGAAGGTTCAAGGCTAATCAAGTGAGATACTTACTAGAGAGACACAGGACCACAACACAAAAGGACTGAAAATGTTTTTTTTCTCCTCCTAACATGTTAATGTCTAACAGCAAATCATTATGGCAACTTCTACATCATTGAAAAACTTTTCTTTTTTTTTTTTAATTAATTAATTCACCCCAAACAAAGCAATAATGCCACTAACATGTGAGGAGGGCTACTGGAGATGAAAGAGAATGAAAAAAGATTTTAGGAGGAATCAGAAACCCAATCACTACACTTTATTCCCTATTTTGATCCTTATAGCAATAGTCTGTAGTTTCTCTATGGCTTACCAACTAAGAATATTTCAACAAAGTGGTTTCTGTTGAAAACCTAAGTGATTCTAAATGTAAACAATAATGCCCCTTGGGGGTGATGCCAATTCTTAAGGGGAGGACAGTAATTTCAAACAGATAATTTAATCCACTGAAACCAATTAAACATTTAATATACATATTTGTTTATGCTTTTTACATATATTACATTTTCTATATATTTTAAACATTCTGATGCAACTGCAATATGCATATGAAGCAAAAACCTGTCACGTCCAGTAGATTCTATGGTGTCTGTCACTTGACTGTTCCTGCTACAACTTCATTTTCAGTAATTAGTACTGATATAATTTAAAACAATATAAACACACAAAGTTAACTCTACTCCCTTTACCATTGCAATTTTAATATGGGTGAGAGAGAGAGAGGCACCAGCCCACACAAATATTTGAAAAGGGGGTGAAGGAAAACAGAAAAGGTGAAGAGCTCCTGTCATAGATAAAGCATATAAATATGGAATCATCCACTAGAATGAGTATCACTTACCTGTGGACTAACACCTTCAACAACATCAACCAAAATAATTGCTCCATCACAGAGACGGACAGCAGTTGAGACTTCACTGGAAAAATCAACATGGCCAGGTGAGTCAATCACATTGATCAGGAAATCCTCTTCTCCTAAGCAAAATTAAAACACACAAATTAGAGAGTAAAAAAAGAGTCGGCATATAACCTTAACCAAAAGTAGAAACATGACTGAAGACTTGAATTTCCCAAAGAAAATACAAAATTCATGACAAATGTTCATTTCGAAACATTATACACAAAGTCCTTTCATTTGGTATTACTCTTACTCAAGTCTTTTGGAGTTCCCGGAGGAGGATGAGGCCACAAATCTCAAGTTCCATGGACTTAGGGAGACAAAAAAAAAAAATGACTCTTTGTGTTGTTAGAACGCATAAGTATCAGTGAGTTTTAACTTAAAACAAAGAAAAAAAAAATTTTTGATTGTGACAGCCATCATATCAACATGTATTTAAAAAGTAATCTTGTTGCACTTTTGTTTAATTCTAATTGAAAAAAGAATGAAATAAAATGTTGAGAAAATTATAAATTTCTTTTATCAACTTAAAAAAAAAAAAAATGTACTGTTTCTGGATATGGTTCTGTGACTGATCCAACATATCAAAAATGGCTTGTGAAGTTTCATACTGGAGATTCTTTGCTGAACCATGTGCCATAATCAAAGAGAGCCATCCATAATGATCAAATGAAGACATTAGTTGAGAAAAGCAATGATATATGATGTGGGAGACCATCAACATACCAGAATATCCAAATCAGTCATTGAGAATCATTTGCACCAATTTTCTTATGTTAGTCACTTTGATGTGTGGCTTCCAAATAAGTTAAGAGTAAAAAATATAAATAAAACATGTATTTCTGCAAGTAATTTGCTGCTTAAATAAAATATTTTGTCTTGTTAAACAAATTATGAGAGTGATGAAAAAAAATGAATGCAAGAGATGATGGGGCAAGTGAAAAAAGTATCAATAAATGAAACCAAAAGCTACTGATAACGGTACCTGTTCCCGCCTGCCAGAGAGACAATGTTTAGCGTACTGTCTCTGCAGAAAGACAACACATGGTTACCCTGCCAGAACAGAGATGGTTTGAACCCCAGAACGTCTGATTATGAAGAAAGAAAGTGTCTACCAGCTTCCTCATGAGATAGTCAAGATGGTGACTTGAGCAGTGGTAGTACTAAATATTCAAATGAGACCTTTGAAGGCTGAAATAGCTTGAAGGGCTTGAAAAATAAAAAAAAATAAAAAAATTTCCTCATATTTTTACTTAACAAATCAAGCAAATTTTTTTTTTGCCACCAACTTGTTTTTTCTCTCTTATGTTTGAAAATACTTACTTCTCTTAAAAATAAAAGTATTGAGGGAACAAAATGATTGAAACATACAGAATCTTTAATTCTTATACAGTTCTGATAATAGAAGAATTTTATCTTTTGAATTATCCAAGACAGAAGTTCAATGCCATATCACTTGTATAGGCAAATACAAATGAAAGATATTGATAAATAAAGCAATAATCTAAAAAGAACATTTTATAATTTATTTTCCATCTTAAATCCTATTAAAGTTGTTAAGATTAATCAGACTTTATCATACAGTGCGTGCCAAAATTTTGTATTTGTGTTGAAGAGTTTAAATCAACTCTTAGGTCATTTCAGATATCAAAGATTTTGGATTCTATGAAAACATCTAGGTTGCCTGATATGGATCATATTGTGGATTCTGTTTTCATTTCTGATTGTCACAAAGTGAACAGACTTGTGGGAGTGAATTGGTATGAAGTGATTTTGATTTCAATAACTTAGAGTAACAGCAAATAATAATTTATTTTCAAATTGGTGTTATAATCTTCCTAAAACCAGATCTTCTGATTCATGTTATACAAATTTCCACCACTGGCCGGATGTGAACGCTCCGAAAACCAAGACTGAACTAGAAAATTCTGTCAACTGCACATCGGTTCCACACATACCTTCCATTTTTACTCACACGCTCAGAGAAAAATACAATCCAGAATTTCCACCCAAAAGCACCCACTCCTGCATATAGAAACAAAATAAAAATTGGAGCTGATCTGAGCCTAAGAAAAGGACATAAAAGCCCATCAAAGTCGGACAGCACAACAGCCAGGATTCACAACGCTCATCAGAACGCGACCTCCTATCTCCAAAGACAACTCAGCAATGGCTGTTGCCGCAATAAGTCACGACCCACCCTCCCTCTCCCACCTTACGCCTCTGCGGACGTCTTTTACAATTCTACTAATCTCTTTCTTTCAAAGGGACACATTTACATCAATTTACCATTTGTCATATTTCTATATAAATACAATTGTTTATTTCTTAAACCTTCATTGTTTCTTCTTTGTTCTGTTACCATACGCCTAATATAACACTGGTAACAGTTTAGTAGCATGCAAATGATTGATTTGAATTTGGGATAAAAAAGAAACTATATTTCAACTAAAAATTGCTATGTTGACTTTATGATACAATATTCAATGCTAATCTGAACGGGAAAGGCGCTAATGATTTAAAGGAGAATAGAAAATGAAATAAAAGGAAATTAGACTGTGGCAGATGTGTTTATGTTAGAGGTCACTAGTGTGGATAGGTGGTAGGATAATTATTTTATTGGAAAGTTTGGAATAAAAATAACTGACTCAAAATAAATGATATATTTTATTTCTTTTCTTTAGAGTGATGAGCAAGTCCTTTGCAATTTGGTGTAGCAAAAATTTTTTTATAAAGGCAGATATTGGTAGCAGTCTGGAGAAATACCCGTTTTGGTAGTTTGAAATCAGACTAGGGATAGAAGTAATCTCAGAAATTAGGTCAATGACAATCTACTGTGTTTTTCTCAGCCCTAAGCAGGGCAGAAATATCAGTAGCAAATGACCTCTTAACTGCTTCTTCAGTATGGCTTCATTATTTTGTTCTGTCCTCTCCTGCTGCTCCATCTGCATTTTAGCTGATCTGGTATGAATCCAGAGTTTATATCCTTTTGACCAGGCTCAAGAATTTGGCACAAATATTGGTTTTGGATAACATGAAGAGTCTTTTTGTGTCAATTTTTTGATTGGCAGAATTATTTTATTTTCTGGCATTCCTTTCTTTTACATTTTTTTTTTTATAACAGAAGTTATGCATGGAGACTCCCCAAATTTTGGTATTTTTCAGTCACAAACAATAAAACATCTGGTGTTTTGGGCCAGGTTCAATCTTTTCTTTTTCTTCCTCTTTTTATTTGAAGGTTGCCTTCTCGTTAATTGGGAGAAAATCATAGAAAAGGAAGTTTAGAGTGAGAGAAAGAAAGCAATAATGGTTTTAAAGGAAAGTGCAAATGCTTTAATTTAATTTGAATTCTTTTTATTTTTGCTTATATATTATTTTTTATCGGGACTCACTACAAGACAAACATATATTGACAAAGCATATTGTTATTATTATAATAGCAAAAGAATCTAAGAAATTTTCAGTAAATTGTCTAAATAAGTGACTCACGTTGAGCGTAATGTAGAGAGATAGCACTTGACTTCATTGTGATCCCACGTAATTGTTCGTCTTCCCGGCTGTCCATGTAACGGATCTACAAGAGAAGAAAATTTATTTTTATCCAAGGTCTACTGTTATAAGTTTAAAAAACAAAAATTTCTGGCTAAGTTCTTTGTACAAGTTTGAAAGATATCAACAAATTCATTAAGAGGACTTTATTCTAGTTAATAAATGTCATTTATAGTCAGGTTTTATTGAAGATTTTTTTTTTTTTAACTAATTGATCACTCATTACAAGGCTCAAGAGTCACTAAAGGTAGAAGCCTACTGAATGAGGTTGTTGTATGAATGTAAGAGGAGGAGGAGGAGGTAAGAGGTGCAAATTATGAGGATATGTAGGAAATGTAATGGTTGACCCTAGAATTAAAGAGGTTAAGACTATAGCAATAAAGGAAGCATCCTCTCAGGAGTCTTGTCCCATAAAGTAGTAGTTCTTGGTAAGTTGTCCAAATGGAACTTACTTTGTATTAATGTTAGGCTAACAGCTATATCACATTGAAACACTGGTTCTCATATAATCGGCAAAGTTAAGCAATGCTGAGACTGGCTAGTACCTAGATGGTTGACCACTTGAGAATACAAGGTGCTGTAAGTATAAACTTGGATGTTCAGGTGATGTAATGAATAACAGCTCAGAATTGGAAATCAGAGATCTGAGTTCCAATCCCAGTCAGATTCACTATATTCACTTATGAGCAAATAGCCTTGTGAAAGGTATAAATCCACCTCCTCCTCGACTCTATGGGTTAATTAACAGGACTTGTATCAGTAAATCATTATTACCCCTCCACCCAAATCTTTACAATCTGAAAATATTTTCTGGCTTTAGGTAACCTTTTAGATAAATTATTTGCTTGCTTTATATTTTTTGCCATTCTTTTCTTTTATTTTTTCTTGTTTATTGCAAACTTTGTCAATTCTGTTTGTTGAGCACTTCTGCTGTTTATTTACATTTAACCACAGCCAGTCACTCTACAAATGTTGTCATCTTGTAAATCAGAAATGAAGAATTTAATCCTCTCTGCAAAAAATGTAGTTAGTATTGAATCTAACTTTAACACTTTCCTTATTGTGTTATTGTTATAGCATTTGGGGAAAAGCAAGGCAAAAAAATTTCATCTATTTGCTGAGGATTTAAATGCTGATGGCAATTTCTTATTGGCACACCAAAATCTTAGTTTTGATAAGATATGCTGCAGCACAAACTAAAGCTAACTAATAATCCTAAACAATACAAGATATTGACTGACTAATTAGTTGTTTATGGTTTATCAACACATTATTGGCCATTTAAAGCTAAAACATATTTTGGATTGTAAGAATAATTCTTTTTTTTGCTAGTGATAATTTCTTGAGGATAACAATGATTTTTCCAGATACAAGTTGTTCTAACCTAGAAAGGGTTACTGAATAAGGAATAACCAAAATGGAGGTTGGAAATGAAATGGTAATCTTTATAACATTAACAAAATACAATACTCGCCAGTGGTGTGAAGTAGGTAAACCATGGCTAGTGGTGGACTACTTAAATAGTGTCCAACATATCTATGAAGATTGGGACATATCCATTAATGTTCATAGGTATATAACACAAGTCCTGCTATTTAACCCATAGATGGAGGAGAAAAGATGGATTTGTACCTTTCCCAATGGTATTTGCATGTAAGTAAGTGTAACAAATCTGAATTTCTCATTCTAGGCTTCTATCCATTACAACACCCACAGACACAATATTAGAAAAATATGTCACAAAACCGGTTGTATTGTACACTAATATATGTCTGTAATGGTTTGGAAAAAGCACTAGTTTGTTTATAACACAAATACTAGTGACCAACATTTCAGTATCATAAAAACACACACACACATTATATATATATATATATATATATATATATATATATATATATATATATATATATATATGCATACAGGTTGGCTCCAATTAACCACGGTAGTTGAGGTCCAAACACCTGTCCACAGTTTAGATCAAAGTGAGCTGCGAGGTCAGGATTGCCAGCTTAGACCACCAAAACACAGTGGCTAAGCATGCAAAATGTGTATTCAATACTAAGAGATGAATATTGGCAGTTTTGAAAAAACATTTATTAAAACTATCCTTTAATTTCACATAAAAATCTGCATCAATGTGAATAAATTTGAAAGACAATGGCCTAAAAGGATTCCAATTACAAAGCACCATGTCAATAGCCTAAACAATAGTAAATGCCTAGGAAAAGATGAATATACTGAAGGTATTAAAACTCAATTTAATGAATTTATTAAATTAAAAGATTATACAGAAAAAAGAAAAAAAATCAGACTTTGAAAAGTGTCACAATCAAGTTTGAATTTGTTTCAAATTGGGATCCACAGATGATTATGATTCTAATATGAACATGACAAAAGATTTTGGGGTCCATCACACATGTGTGGGTTAAGTAACATTGTGGTTTATAGTCAAGTGAAGACATATAAATATTTACTTTATCATTCAAGCATTGAAATAAATTATTTATGTAAAAAAACGAATACAATTCCTAAATCAAGAAAAACTAGAACGCATAGAGAGAAAATAACAAAAGCCAAATAGCAATAATTAAAAGAAAGAAGGAAAAAGAAAAAAAAGAGGAAAAAGGCTAAGGAATGAGTGTCAAGTGGAGAAAAAAAAATAAACAAAGTGACAAAAAGGACAAATAATCCTGACACCCTCCACATATGCACAGATGGGTGCATGTGTGCGAATACACACATACACTATTAAAAAAAAAAAAAAAACTTGCACCAATGATAAGTGCATATAAAGAGAAAAATCAAGGAGAAGTATAAGCAGCCAACTGCTGATACGTCCTGATGTGTGGATGAAACTCTGGAGTTGGGATGCTGAAGATAACATCAGGTAAGTAATAATCTTTTACTTGTATTAATTCTATATACATGTTGACATCAGGCAATGTAAATTTTCTAAAGACATTAAGTACATCTTGAAAACATATATCTATGTCAACAGCAGGCCATGCAGTTTCATCAAGATGTGTCTGCCATTAGCAGTGAAAGTATTAAGTAGATCAATGCTACACTTTCATAAAAAGCCAAGCAAGAAAGAAAAATTTAGTGCTTCAGTGAATCTTTTGAAAGTCAAAGACTTTCTTTCATTGATCGACATTGTTACTCATTTTTAGTTCACTGCAAATGTTGATGTGGATCAGCTAAAAACAAAAGGAGTCAAACTTGAAGTGACACTACACAGGACTCTCCCCCTCTTCATGTTCATATCCAAAAAAAATCAAGCCAATTCCTATCAATTTGAAAATCTTATTGGAGTAGCCAAAGTATAAAAAATTTATTTTCTGTTTATTAACAATCATGAAATAAAATAAGTTGCTCAAATTGATTTATAGATCCAATACACTGGAGAATGAAGACAGTTTTTCTTTCATTGTGTTTTTTCTTTTTTAAACATTTTTTTTAATAAACTGCAATTACCAGGTTGAATAAAAAGATTTTTTTCAGATTTTCACTGATGATTTTTGGCAAAATATATGTTATATCCTTAATTTGATACAACTTGTCCAATTGTTACTGAATTGTTTATTATTTATTTTCAAATAAAACATAAACATTGTTTATTTTACAGATAATGAGTTGTGAAAAAAAAATTGCATATAGAGCCATTTTATGCTACCTGTTGAAAAAAAGGAATGGTCGTAAGGGCAGTAGCAAAAGAAATTAATGATGTGGAAGGCCGAGGAATTGTCAACAAAAATGTGCTACAAAACTAGTCCAGACATTTCATGGAAGGTGTCACCAGCCTTGAAGACAAACCAAAGTCAGGGAGACCTTCTGTTATGGATGATGGGGCCTTACTTGAAAGGGTTAAACAACATCCAAGCATAAGCACTTGTATATTGTTGGCAGAACTTGGTCTTTCACAAAACACCAACAATTGACACCTCCATAAGTTTGATCTTGTGAAGAGATGCTGTCAACAGGTTCCTCATGAACTGACTAATGACCAGGTTCAATGACATGTGAACATTTGCAAACAACTGTTTTTGGTACTGAATTGTAGCTGAGATGAAAAAGGAATCTATTTCCATAGTCATAATAAGAGAAATCAGTGGCTTTCTTCTGAACAGGCTTCAGAACCTTCTGACAAATGAGAGCAGTTTAAATAGAAGGTCATGTGTATTTGGTGGAATTTCGAAGGGGGTGTTACACACTGAGCTTGTCCCAGATGTCCATGCAGTGAATGTTGACCTTTACACTCAACAACTGCATATGATGCTTTGAAAGCCTGCTACCTGGCATTAGTCAACTGAAGACACACAATCCTACAGCATCACAATTCCCTAGCACATACTGCCAGTGTGACCAAGCAGAAACCTGAGGAACTTTAGGAGCTGGGAGTGCTGTCTCCAGTCCAGACTTTGCACCATCAGATAACTGCTTTTTCCAAGCTGTGGTTCATTTCCCACAGGAGAAATTCATTATATATTTGACTAGATTTCTTTGGCAATGTTAAATCTTGGTGCTTGCAGAAAAAAAAAAAAAAAAAAAAAAAGAAAAGAAAAGAAAAAGTGTGTCAAAAGGATATTATTTTAACTACCTTCATTCCCCAGGAATGTTTGTTTTAAAAAGCAATGATTAGAATTTTTATAAAACCTAATCAGATAAAAGTGAATTTATACATTTTCAAGGTTGAGAATTTACAACAAAAATATTAAACAATAATTTATCAGATTGTCTATTTTCAGGATTCTAAAAATTAATATAATTCCATGTTTATCAAAGAAATAAATATTAAAACAAATTATTTTTTATTCCTAAATTAATAAAAATTTACTAAATTATAAAAATGTTAACCAACTATAATGAAAACCTTATTATTTACCATTTTATAAAGTTGGATACACTTGACAATTAGCTGATGCCTTATGAATCATTCAAAAGAACATAATTAACCGATTGCTTTAGTCAAAGTGCTTAGTGTCCATTCTTCATTTAAGATTTCTTCATCAGTTAGTGCTTGGCTGACAATAAATAATCTAATGGCAGACTTTCTAGGAATTTTTAGAAAAATAAGCAATGATTTTAAATTTTTGTCAAAATTATGCTTTTCAAAATTGTAGGAAGGAGGGGGGGTAATCTACAATCACTGGCGTTTTGGGCCCCTTTGATATCTATTCATTAGGCACCCTTGATCACAATTATAAAAATAAAAAATAAAAAAATTGGAAAATTAAAACAAAAATTAACCTGTGATATAAAATAATTCGAGAAAAAAATGCATAATGCCCCCCCAAAAAACATTTTTATTTAAATTTTCTTATTCTATACGTCATAGATATTTTTATTAAAAATTATGAATAAAAAACTTGTTTTCATAGTTACTATTTATAAAATAGTAAATAATAAATATTGCTTTTTAGTTGGTTCACATATTTTTAAAATGTTGCCAAGTGACTGAAGGTAGTTAAAATAATAATGGTGTCAAGGGAATAACCATCCTTTGGACATATTTTTTTTTTTTGTTATAGAAGAGTTGAGCAACTTCTATCGGAGGACAAGTGTTACAAGAACTGCTGTTCT